TCAATTTCATCATCTTCATCACGTTCATTATTCATTGTAATTAAATTAATGTAATTCTAAAAGTAAAAATATATATATATATAACCAATTACTTTTATTTCTTCTATCATTTAAATATTATTAACAAGTTTTTCTATAATTATCATCAATTTAAAACTAACTTACACGATCAATTTTAATAAAATCTTTATTTACCATTGAAAGAAAAAGACAACGATGTATGTATATTATTAGTTCACGAAGGTGTTAAAGGGCAAGCACTATAATATATATACATATATGTTCGTGCAATAAGTAGAGACATGTCACGGACGACTGAGCTGAGGGTAAAAGCTAGAGAGAATATGATAAAAAAATATAATATACATATCTGTATTGTATAGGTTATATATCAAGGACAATAATGAAGAACTATTCTTATTAAGTATAAATATATAAAACAAATACTTCAAGAATGATTTGAACAAGGTTTTCCTTTTTCTTTTTTTGTTGAATATATATACTTTTATCTTATCGATTGATATTTTTGATTTGAATTTTTTTTTGTTCGTATGAAAATATAATAAAATAAAGAAACTAGTTTTTTAAATCATTTAAAAATTCCTATTTAAATGTAATAATGATACTTACTATTCGTTTGTCGATTGTATTTAGTGGTCTAGTGTGTGAATTGAAGCCTTCTTTCTCCTCTTTACGCCTCTTTTGGTTCTGCCTGATTGAACACTTACTTTCTTTCTCTTAACAATAATCGTCGTCCAAAATCGTTCGAATGATGTTCAATGTGAAAATGATCTATCATCAACGAAAGAGAGAAAAAAGTAGGGGGGAAGGGCGTACAGCAATAACCGTGTCCGGTCGTAACTAAATTGAAACATTCATTCAATGATTCGAAACCGTACAAGCGCATCATATACTTCGATGTAACATGGCGAGACATCTCTTCACGCGTCTTTTAACCATAATATAACTCGTTGTAACGTTGTAGTAAACTAATTTGAATAATTACATGTTAATAATTTACCATAAAAATATAGTCAGCTGAAATAGATTATTAGATAGAGACATAAAAAATTATCTTACTTAATTTTATTTTTTGTCAAACATATAAATAACACTTATTTTATGCTCAATAATAAATCATCAATTGAATAGAAATTCTCTTTTTCTTTTTGTTTATTAGAAATATGTTTGGATTATTATCAGTTTTTTTTGCAAATATATCAATGATTATTAATGTATGTATAAACAGTGAATGATTTTCTTTTCCTTGTCATTTTTCATGCAATTATCAAACACATTTACATATAGGTAATTACAAAAAGAACTTGAGATTTTATCATGAAAAAAAAATTTTTTTTTGACATTCTTGATATATTATATGCATAAAAGAAATCGATGCAAATTTTTTTTTCTTCTTTTATTTATTTGACTTAATTTTATTATTAATAGATTACTAATAATATTTACACAATTATTTATTCGAATTTATTGATAAACAAAATATATTTGACAGTTTTTCTATGTCAATTAATTGAACTATGGTTTCAATCATCGAGCCCTTAAAATAATAGTCACTTGTCATTATTCTCTACTCTGTTCTCAAAAGTTATTGAACTGTCATATATCTAATAGATACCATCCCTGTCATATGTATGAATATATATATATATATATATATGATGTAATATCAATATTGAACAAGTAGATAATTGAAATATGTCTTATCGGATGTGAATTATTGAGCTTATGATGCGAATGTTCATTGGATAAATAGACGAGAGAAAATGAGTCTTTAAAAAAAATCAACATCGAAAGTATATATACATAGATATAGTTCAATTGTTTTATAAGATTTTGTATGAAAGAAGTATATTATGTTGAGAATTGGTACATTGATTAACTCACTAACATGCTTTATTTTAAATAAATCTTAACGGTTATATATTCTGCAAATAAATTCTTCTAGTAGATCTATTCATATTACACTTGAGATCATTTGATAAGATTAATTTTGAATATACAAATTTATTATTCTTTTAATTACTTATAATAAAAGAATAAAACAAACATACATTTTTTTAAATTTTCTCATATGTATCTTTAAATGATTATTTATTTTTAATTTATTTCAAATAAAACTTTCCTAACTTTTTCTTTTCTTTTATATTCAATTCGTTCGAAGTCGTAGAAAAATTCATTATTGAAATAATACTCTTTTATCTGTCATCATTGAAATAAAGTGTTCACAATGTTTCCTAGCTAACAAGCAACGGTGACAACGTCGTTTCTTTTCCATTTATTCGCTTTTTCTTTCTCTTCTTTTGTCTTTGTATGATGTTGCTCGTCGTGAAATGGGAAAGAATAAGAAGGGAATATCGAATCGACTGCTGGCTGCTGCTATATTGCTTGCCCTTTCCTTTTCTCTACACAATGAACGTTGCCCGTTGTATGTCTGCGTATGGCAAGTAAGCTAGGAAGAATTTTTTCTTCTCTCTCTCTCTTTGTCTCTTTGACGTCAGGAAGAGAAGAAAATGTCTGTATGCCTGCCCTGCTTGCTTGCTTTCACACACAACGACCGACCGACAACGATAGAGAAGTAAGCCACTCGCTCGCTTATTCTCTTCATATTCAACTCAAACTAACTAACATACACACATAAAAACATACGACATCTACTTTAACAGTATGTATAAAAGCAAATTTTCAATATAAAAATTGTTCTCTCTATTTTCTATTACTAATTTTTTAGATATGCCACGAGCACCTAAATCACAAAAAGATCCTAATGCACCAAAACGTCCATTGTCAACATTTTTCTTATTTTCACAAGATGAACGACCAAAAATCAAAAAAGACAATCCATCATTATCCGTTTCGGATATTGCTAAAGTTATTGGGGAACGATGGCGTGGAATTGGTGATGATAAGAAACGTCATTATGAAGAAAGAGCTCGACAAGAAAAAGAAAGATATGATCGAGAAATTGCTGTATATAAACAAGGAGTGAAATAGAGAAATAAAAATATAAAATAAAATCATTTCTTGTCTCTGTAGCAATATGTATATAATTCTATTATGATCAATTGTAGTTAGAAATGTTGTTTTGTTTCGTTCATTTTTCTTTACTGTATTCTTTGTTTGTATATGTTGTGTCCAGCAAATTAAAAGATAAAATTTGAAAAAAAAGTCATGTTGATTATATTTTCTATATAACTGATATAAGATCTATGAATTTGTATATTTTTTCATTTTTTTAAATGAAATTCAATCATTAATTTACGGAATATAAGAGAATATTGATGGATTTTCGGAAAATTGTTCATACATTTCAAATGAAGAGTTTGATATTGCTAATAAAATCATAATATGATCAGTGCTATTTATCTATGATATTAGAATTAAGTTTAGAGTTTCCTACGATTGATAGGTAAATTCAAAATTCTTTTCTTGTTTGATAGAGAAACAATAGTACTAATACTAGAATTAAGCTTCAGAGTGTTTTTAATTGATTTAAAAGTTGCGTTTTTTACTTATGAGAGTATGTTTTAGTTCATTTCTAGTTTTAACTCTGTGTTTAAAGATCATTTCAATTCGAATACGAATATGGGTGATTCGCATTTAAAAACGTTATTACTAAATACTGAATAATTTCACCAAATAACAGTAAAATAGATAATATTTTTAAAATAGTCTGTTTTTATCATCATCTAACGAGAACTCATATTATCGGATATAATATCAACATAAAAAAATCATGTATACTACATAAATAAGTAGTAATACATTTGTAAAACATCTGGATGAAAAGTCTCTCGATAGTACTCGATGATATCTGATCAGAATCGAGAACAGTTAGATTAAAAAAAGATGGGGTGAAAATTACTTGAATGATTACAGTAGAACCGTACGATTTCTACCATTTTTGTGTATTGGTTTTTCACTTTGACATTCTTAGAAGATGTTTTATGATCGAAACTTGGCTATAGTCTGAAAGAGAAAAACCTTTCTGTTGCGAAGTCTGTTACTCATGATATAAAAACTGTACAGTGAGTTTATTATCAAAAATAAACAGTGATGTCGAGTTCATGTTGCCACTTTTTAATTAAGGTATTGCCTTGAGATTGATCGACTAAAATTGGTCAACAATAAATTCTTAAAGTCAATTAATTACTTTGCATCTTCGCTGCATTGGTTTCGAGTTCCTACGTGAATTGAATTACACACATTGCTCTTAAATGATGAGTTATACTTTTGGATTTCTAAGTTCACCGACATTTTTGATAAGAATATACTTCACGAAATGATTTATACAATATCAGTTTTTCATCAGCTGATAAAAATCTCGTACATTCATACATATCATAATATTCTCTTGTATATAATAATTACAAATACGATATTGTACGATAGACTGGATGATTTTCCAGTTCGAATATTCTTGGTCAAAATAAACAAACTAGTTAACAAATAATCCGAACTTCATTTTATTAGCAGAAAACCGGTTTATATACGTTCGAGAGAATAGCTCAAACTTTATCTTGACACATCTATGTCTAATACAACATTCAACTCAATAGCAGCATTGTATAAAACTTAAAGTCACAAAGTCCAACATGATTATAGTATATCCATATACTATTCCTATGAATCACCTATGATTTATACCTCTATTTTTAATACATTAGCTTAATATGAGTAGCTCTATAAAATATAGTTTTCGCATATATGTTACGCCAGATGCCACTAATATCTGATCTATCCTACAATGTATCTTTTTGTTGTAGAAAAATGGATTTTAAATTTTATTTATAATGTAAATAAATATTTTGATATTATTGATTATTTTAAACGAAAGAGAATATCTCAGTATCATTCTAAGGGTATTAGCATCGCAACAAAATGGTCGATCGTTTATCGAATAACTTCCCTTACAAATTGCTAAATATAACGAAAGAGAAGAAGAAGGTCGCATTTTTATTTTTATTTTAGATAAAATAATTATGCGTAATGAAGAAGATGAATGCGATTCATCATGTGTATATACTGTTGCTAGTCAATCTGATGTAACTTCATTTTTATATGCACAAGAAGCAAAAATAACTGGTTTAAGTTCAACTTTAAGTGATAACGATGATTATGATGATGAAAGTTCTATCGATGGTAGTTTCTCAGCAAGATTTAATGAAAATCATTTAAAATTAAAAAAATCTTATCTAAGTCATTCATGTTTTGCTTCAATATCAACTTCAACATTAAATAAAACAAACTCAGTCGATGATTTAACTGAATTAAAATGGTTAAATTCATTTAAATTAAAAGAATTTAAAGATAATAAAACTAATAATCAAGAAACAAAAGAAACAACAACAACAACTTATCAAGTAATATCAAATACTGAAGATCATATAAGTAAATTAAGTAATGAATTAAAAACTTATCCTAATAATAAAGATTCAATATCCTATGGTGTTTTAATTTTTCTTGCATTATATTCTAAACGTAATGATAAACAAACACCATGGTCATTAACACTTAAACAAATTTATGAATATATTCAAATACATAGTAAACATACTGTAGATAAACGTGGTTGGAAAAATTTATTAAAGCAAACATTAAATATAATTCCATGTTTTATTAAAACAAAACTTGATTCAAATAAATCACGTTCAATATGGACAATTGATTCATATTATCGACCATTATTAACAAAAGCTTATTTAACAAATTTATCATTACCAGTCAATAAGTAAGACAACAAAAAATAATCTATGTTATATATTTATCTAAAATTAAAATCTATTAGAATAACATCTACAAATGAAAATGATGAGAAAGAAATATCTTTGTAAGATATGATATTTAATTGTTACTATTATTGTTTAGTTTATATATAGGAATGTAATTGATTCTTCGAAATCGATGGTTAACAATTTTCCACCAAAAGCAACAGTAAAAACAAAAGGTAAATGAGAAGCAAAATTGGAAATTATTTATTTGTTTTTATATCTAATCAGCACTTCCTCGTCTTTATGAACGACTTTGTGAAGAAAAGTCAGATAAGGCTGATGAAGATGAAACAGAATCTATGAATACGATTAAACATCAACAACATCTAATTTCAGGTAAATTAATGAAATCGAGAAAGAAGTTTTTATCCATAAGATGCCTAGTTACTATTCGAGAATAAATATACAATATTTTCTTTCCGTTCAAGAAAATAAGGATAATATCTATATGGTTAGGGATACTTTTAAGGAAAAATTTGATTTAGTTATAGAAAATAAGAGAAAAAGATTGTAAAAACATACTCTACAGTAATCTTCCACCATACTACAATGATAATTATATCATCCAAATGAAAAAAAGTGTAAGCTCTTGTTTTTTGTTTTATGATAACAATATATTTATTTCAAGATCTGTCGTAGAAATGCTTTTGATTTATGAATACTTATATTCGATAGATTGTTCTCGAAAACCACACGATCGATGTTTGGGTTATTTTTGAGAACGTCTCTTCTAGATAACAAAAATACTTTTGTAGTGCGATGCAAGATAACGGGAGTGTATTTTTAGAACCTCTCCTGCTTAATCGAATCATTTCTGCTTACTTTCCATAACTAAAGACAATCCAATATTAGAATTCATACAATATTTTTGAAAGAAAAATATACATAAGTCTGCTGAGTAATAGAATTAGCCATACTTAATGCAATACTGAAGTTAAGCTAGCACCCCTATGTATACTATTATCGGTAAAATTATTACCAATATCCTAGAGCACTCACAGTCGGTAAACCACTGTTAGTATTTTCAATCAAATTGCATATCTAGAATCAGAAAATGCCTGCGTCCTTCTTGTATTTGTGAAAGATTAATGCATTCATTCACTGTGTCATGAAGTTTGTAATACATTTTCAAGTTATTTACATCGTAAAAATGTTTTGAGAAGTACGTTTGTTCCGTTTTTTGTTATTTATAAATCATGAGAGCGAATTAAAAACATTTAGTTTAAATAAACATTTTCTATTTTCTCGAAATAAATGCTCGGAGTTTTTTTGATTATTTTTAAAGGCTTATAAATGAACTGATATGTGGTATCAAAGGTTTTCATATAGGGATTACAGAGGTATCGAATTACATCCAACTTAATTTTCCCTAAGATTTTGTCGTCATTTGATATGAGAATAACAAAAAAGGGACCTATAAGTTCTTTTTTTGGAACCGTAGATACTTGTAAATAGGTTAAAAAAATGTTTAAAATATTCATATAGTGATATTTACTTTGTTTTATTCGTCAGGTAAAAAGCGATCACGTTCTGTTTCATCTGCAGATTATTGGCGAGTTGTAAAAGGTAAAAAGAAAATACAACGTATGTTTTTCTTTCGTTCTATAAGAAGAATAATATATAATTTAGATAATAATAAAAACCGTCTTTCATCTTCTTCACCATGGTCAACAAAACTAAGCAAACGTCATCGAATATCAAATCGTCTTCAATATAATACTGAACTAAAAACATCAACATCAAATAAAGAGTAAAAAAAGAATTAATAGATTATCTATATTTACTTTCTTTTCTTCAGATCAACTATTATTACACCATGTCCAAGTATCGATCATATGTATTTAGAAAAACCAACCAATAAAACCAGTAAAAAGTTTATTCCATAATTTTTTTTTCTATTTTTTATTAAATTTAAGATAATTTATCAATTGATGAAGATGATGAATGTGATAGTAGTTCATTCATACATCCGAATTGTAAATCAGCAACTGGAATTCAAAACCGAATAAGAAATAATTCCATACACCGTCGAAAATCTTCATTACCAAGAAAACGTTTATCTCTTATTTTACCAACACGTCGAGCAAATACACGTATAAGTAGAAAAATAATTGAACAAGATTTACAATTATTACGACAAGCAAATCATAATAATCAACAATCAACTAATAATAAACTAATCATAATAGATACATTAACTTCAACTGATGATATACTTGATCTATCGTTAACCCGATGATATTTTTGTTTTTTAATTTTATTTTTTTTTGAAAATTAATACGTGTGCAATATAAACATATTTGTTAGATTGATAAGAATAGGAAATCATTTACTGATTTCATTTATTCTATTCCGACTTAATTTGCTATTAATAATTGCATTTTACATCTATTTTTTGTCATAAAAGTGTGCATTCATTTGTTTTTTTCTCCTTAACCGCGCTACTACCTACCTTTTATTATAACGAAAAAAAAAAAAATTTCAAAATATCATGTTCTTCTTTTTGTTAGTTTTGTAATGATCGTTCTTTAGTATATAAAAGCAAAAGGATCAATCATGATGACATCATTTGTTGTTATAGACACCCAGTAAAACTTTCTCCTTCCTTGGGAATTTTTATTTTCAAGTATACTTGAAATAAAGGAAGTGAGAAATATAGGTTAGACTCGAATTTTTATTTTGTCGAAAGAGAAAGGAAGTACATTATCGAGACACAAAAATCATGTGACACTTGAGTAAGCATTCATATATAATCTATGATGTTTTTCGTGATTTTTTACTCAAATACATAACAATATTTTATTTTATTTCATCACTAACTTTACCTATAGTCATTCATATTTGCATAGCGTCACCGTAACGAATCCGACATCATTAAAAAGGTCATATCAATGTGCTTTTTGTAAAAAATAACGTGATTCGACGAGGAAAACTACCACTTCTTTATCATGATGACAAAACATTTTAACATTCTACTTAGTGAAGCAACGTATGAAGGTACGATATCTGTCATATAAAGTATTTTATTTTCTTAGGGTAGTTAAATAGTATTTGATTAAGCTCAACTACAACATATCATGTAAAATGATATCGAAATTTTTTTTCATCAAAAAAGAATAGGTTTTAGTATATTCATTTTAGTTCCTTTTTCATCAGCATAGTAAGAAAAGTTTAGTTAAAATAAATTAAATCGTAAATCTAATAGAATCATAACATTTCCAGTAAGTCATATTGATAAATTTTTGATTTATAATTAACTGTTTTCGTAATGGTAATACAATTATTAAATAAAAATGACGCCTAGTTTTTATTATTTTAATCATCTTGAAAAGAGACCATGTGCATTTTAGATTCACGGTGAGAAGAAAAAAAAAATAAAAAAACAATAGACCACAAAACAATACATTGCTTTTATGTTGTGTCAATAAACTCCTTTGACTTTTATGAAAAATCAATGTAATTTGTAAGGCATTTGATGGGAGGTGAGTGTAAACGAACACTGATATAGAATTTTCGGTCGCTCTTCCTTTATATATACCCAGGTCGAATATTATCTGTCATAAACGACCATATACGGATATCGTGCCGTATTCCGTCGTACTTTAGCGTATTACCTGTCTCAGTATTACGACCGTATTATTCCGTATTTTAAGACACAATACTACCATTCCAGTGTATGAAAATCTAATCATTTCTCGTCATCGTAGTTAATTAGCTTCAGCTGATCTAATGACAAGCCGTTTATAACTAAAAAACGATCGAATACTGCCACCGTAACCGATCGTTTATCTGCATAAACGATAGTATATGATACGGAATAATACTGAGACAGATAATACGTCAAAATACGGCGGAACACGACCGTATACGAATCGCGCATTCATCGACCTGGGTATAACCATATAGTATTTTGTTTTTTCCCTTCACGTATGATCACATGGTTCTTTCCTTTGTTAGCTTAATGCGTTTTTCTTTCCTGTTCTGTTGACTCATATTGAAATATGATTTTCAATCGATGAATCAGTAGGATTTGTCCAACAATTATTTCTTATACTATAATTACTTGCGTTTTTTCATAAACAAACGGACTATTGCAAAGCTTTCAAACTATCATCTTCTTCTATAACTTACGATAAGACTATAACAGTGAGGTATAATATTTACGTGTAATCGCTAGCGAATGTTCTTTGCTGCTTATATATATTCATTTAGGAGATATTTTACTGTATTATATTTTAGAGCGTATCATGACTGATAATATCAATTCATGTGATTTGCAAGCGTCGGATCTTAATGATAATCAACCACCATCAATACAATCCGGTGAACTTTATCACACAAGTATACCCGGTTCAATTCTTCTTCCCATGGCAACTAAATGTCCAACAGAAATTTTTTCTTTACTTCGTCATGGAAAACTTGATGTATTTCGTCAATCAGTAGATATTTATCATCAAGATATTATAAAAATGAAAAATGAACATGGACAAGTAAATATATATATATTTTTTTCGATTCAAGTCTTCTATTTATGGAATTCTTTTTAGACTGTATTACACTTTTTCACAATACACGCTTTTCCACATTTATGGGTGCGTTTGTTATTGATGCGTGGATGTGATCCATGTTGTCAAGATAATGATGGACATACAGCAGTACATTATGCAGTAGAAAGAGATGATGTTGAAATGTTGAAAGCATTAACATTACGATTCGGTTCTCAAATTAAATTATTCCCAGAAGAAGCGGTAAAAGCAATTCATGAACGCTGTTTAAAAGCTTTGTCAGTACGGGACAAACATGGTTTAACTCCTTTCATGATATCATGTCAATATGAATCTATAAAATGTTTTAATTATTTAATTCAATTGAAAATTAATGATGCAAATTTAAAAGTATGTGTTGTTGTTGTTTTTTTTCTTCATCAATAATATTTATTTTTATAAAAATTTAATATTCTTTTAGGATAATTATGGTGATACATGTTTATATTATGCTGTTGCTCGTCGAAATGAAATGTTCGTAGATAAATTAATAAAAGAATGCAATGCTGATGTAAATGACGGTGATAAAAATCGACCAAGTATTCTTGATGTATTACAATTTAATCGAGAACAACAAAAACCATTTGATAGAACAAAGGATGATTCAATCGAGCAAATACTTCTAGCAAATAATGCTGTTAATCGTCGTCGAATACGACGTACTTTTAGTAAACGTCAAATGTCAGTGGATAATGATGAATCGACTATATCCAACTTAGCTTGTCTTTCAGTTGATTCCATAGCAGATCCATCTATAGAAACAGCAAGAAACTATGCTCGACTTGCATTATCATATGAAACTAAACGTGATATTAATAATGCTCATGAATCCTATAAACTTGCCATGAATTCTGTACCAAATAATATACTCGATTGGGCTGATTATGCAGTTCCTGTAGCTACAACACATTTAGTTCGTGGTGAAAATCAATTAGCAATTGATTTATTACAACAAGCATTAGCGTTAAGACAACGATTTGAAAAAGATACTGAACAAATCTCTCGTATCAAAAATTTACTTGCAAAATATTCCAAAACTGATTAATCTAAAATGGAATTGATATGAGTAACTTTTATTTGTTAAATTTGTTTTTTTTTCTTGTTTATATTTATTTAAAAAAGAAGAAAGTTTTCAGAAAACTTAATTTTTCATGTATTTTTCGTGTAAATAATCGTTAACAACTGAATATGTTAAATTTTCGAACTCTGAATCCGTTGGATTTTGATATTGTTTTCGAATTTTTGTTGAACTTATATCAACAAGTGTTTTACGTTCATCGTCTAATGTTATATAATATATATTTGATGATTTTTCTTCTAATCTTTTTATATAATCTTCTGAAGCATTAAGACGATATATAACAGCACAGGCAATATTTTCATTTTTTGCTAATTGTTCAACATGACGACAATTATTAAAATGATCCAAACCACATACATAAACAACTTTTAATGGTTTTTTAAGTAATCCTAATCCATCAGGTTTATCTCGTTCATCATTAAGAAATTGAGCTAATTCTATGACTACGTCATCAAAATCAACGAATCTTTTGTATTGAAATTCACCTTCGGCAACAGAAATTAAAGATTCCAAATTTTCTTCTTTGATAACTTCTTGACATAATTTGCTTCTATCTACAGCTGGTATCCAATGAGAACTACCCAATTTATTTTTAACATAGCCATCACTTTTTTGTTATTGAAAAAAAATTAAGATTAGAATAAACAAGAATATTTCAAATCATGATATATGACATACTGTGTAGGTGATAAATAAGCTGCAAGAACATTTAATGGTCGTTCTTTATGATGTTCAAAATAACGTCTAACCAACTGAAGGTTAGCTATATGTGAACGATGAATTGGATTTAGAGAACCAGTTATTATTAAAACACAACTAGATATATAATATTAAAAGAAAAATATTATTTCAATATTTTTCTTACTTATTATCTTTATCCTCAGCACCAATTTTTTTACAATTCTCTACTATAATATCTATATTCGTATTTTTTCTTGTATGCATTAGTCTATTCTTAATCTACAACAACAGAGAAATTCAAATATTTTAATACTCCAAGTTTCTACCTACCAGTATCTAACCATGTTTGTTGACATAAATACAAACGAATAGAAACCAAAGTTACACTAGAGGTCATACAAAGTCGAACGCAAGAATTTAATATGTACATGTACAATTTTTTTGTAACATATTACAATAAGATATTCAATTTGCATACTATATTTGACTACTTGAGATATTTTATATTACAAATATTTCACCTCAAATAGACTAAATATATTACCTGAATGAAGTTTGTTATGATTATGAGTATTACATTATATTTGTATTTAAATATTTTCTTTTCAGTTATTATTCATATTATATATTACTTCTGTATTAATAAGATTTCATTCAAAAAATAAGTCTTTTCTATGGCATCCGAATTCTCAACGTAAGTTTACATATGTTAATCGTCTTGAGAGCTACATTAAATAGAACTGATGAATATGTAAATAGGAAAAATATGCATTCTATATCGTGGTATTGAAAATAAAAGAAATAATATCAAATTGTACATTTTAAATAAATCTATATTAAAAAACTAAAATATTTCACATAATTTAAAAAACAAAATAATTTATATTTTATTAAAATAATAACTAAAAATTCAATTAATTTAATCTATCAACATATTAATTATGATCAGCATCTATTTGCATAACTTGATCTATTTCATTTCCTCGCTGACAATCACTAGTAGTTCGTACTGCACCCATTAGATTTTTACTTTTTTGTGATGAAAGTGGATTTGTTGATTCCGTACGAAAATTTACTAATCCACGAATACGACCTATTAACAATATTTATAGAAATAATAATATTAAAATAAATTTCGACTAGAAATAAATATCATATTGGTATGAAAACGATACTGATCTGGTATTTGAAGTTTCAGTGAATTTAAAGGGCTTTATTTATTAGTGATCTATTAAGTGTATCAATATATAGGCACGACCTAAATCGTCCAGGAGTTTTGGGTTAGAGACAGTGGTGGATCTAGGATTTTGGGAGGGGGGGGGCCGTTTTTTTTTGAGTATGGAGGGACGATACCTGGGGACGGGGTGCGATTTTGGATAAGAGCTTTTTTTTGAGTCCAATTGAAGTAGTGTGAACCTATTTTTTCGTTCATTTTTGCTGTACAAAATCAAAAAAAAATTCGGAAGGGGGGGGTGATCGCCCTTCCCTCCGCTAAATCCGCCACTGGTTAGAGATCCAAACTTGACTAACAGTTCATATTTCAACTTGTGTCGGCTATATACATCTGTGATGCAAAAGAAGTCTTTCTCTGCTTGCTTTTTATATGTGTAAGGTATTATTTGTATATACATATACATGGCAGGTGGAAAAATACCCAAACAGTTTGAGTCATGCCTAACCGTTCTACTAAGTAATGTATCGATTATTCATAGGAAATAAAATCTGTCATGTAGACTAGTGAAATAAACTTTTACTTCAATCGAAATTTTATACTTACGCATTATAACACAACCAACTATAATCGATATCCAAATGACTAATAATAACATGCATACAATTGCAAATACTATACAAAAAAGAATAAATCGAATTAGTTTTTTATTCTGTTATTCATTACTTGTTGATCCATCAAGATTCAATGAGTTTGTTATAGTTTGATTTGTTGGAAGTATTTCTCTTGATGATACAAGTCTACAAAAGCATTCAAAGATTTAAAGTACAACTAAAACAAAAATTACAAACTTGAATAAACTTGAAAAACTATTATCGTCACACATATTATCATTTTTAGTTAATTTTGAATCATATATATAATAAATTAAGAAATAACAATTTGATTGAGATGTATTTTCACACTCAATTAATAAATAATCACCCTTCATAAGAAAAAGATCAGGTACAGTCATCTCAATATTTGTTTGAGCAATATTCGATTTTAATTTTGAATCAAATACTGGTTGAATTAATTTTCGTCCAAAATAACGAACATAAATTAAATGCATACGCCACCAGAATTTATTTTCACTTGGATTTAATTGTTTTATTGCATAGATTAAATGTGGAGAATTTGATGAACGACAAGAAAAATCTATATGACAAAAATTTATGTTTCCTTTTAATTTAAAGAAAATATATTTACGTGTTCCTTTGTGTTTATTACCAACTAACATTGTAGCCATTTGAAGTCTCGGTCTTAGAAAAAAAAGAAACTATCTTATTCAATAACTTATTGATTGTAATGAAAAATTACAGGTCTTAATGACTAAGAAATACTCAGTTTCTCTTAAAATAAAACTTCAGTTATTCCGTAATATTACTATTTACTACCAAATATTAAAAAAAAAAGACTTACATTATATGAGATACTTGCAATGTAATTCCTGATTGTTCTTTATGTAATCGTCTTTCTTTTCTATAAATAATTGTCAATATAATTGATCTAGTTTGATTAAAATAAAAACCTTGACCTATTCAAAATAATAAGATAAAGATTTTTTCTGAAAATATTTTTTACCGCCATTTATACGAAAAGGAGATGTTGATGATGATGGTGTCCATTCATAGATCAGCATTGATTGACCATCTTGGCATCTAATATCACCATCATACCAAAGTTTTTCATTTATAGGTGAATCACAAAGATGAACAGTTAATTGTTCAATTACTTTAGAATGCGATTGAATGGATGGTGTGATTGTAACTTAAAAAAAATAAGTTTGTTAAACTAATGAAAATATTTTAAACAATTGAAGTTTTTTTTTTTATATATTTAATTATTCTATTCGAAATTAAATGAAGAATTATACTTTTGTTTTTCTCTTCAATTTTTTTCTTTAAATAGCAATCTTTGTGAAAAACAAAAACATATTTTTCATGAAAAGTCAATTATATTTCTTTTTTTTTCGAAACTTTTCAATTTATCTTACCAATCGTTCCTTGTTCTTCGTTTTCATTACATGGACTATATCTAATATGTATCGATTTCTATTGAAAAATAAAGAATAAATTATATATGTATAGAATAAGAAAATATATACATGCGGTATAGAGTTTGGGTGTGTTTTGTTACCAGGTACTGCCAAAACTATATTAAATCTTTGCTGTGAAGAAGAATTTTTCACGTGTGAAAAATTCATAAATAATATTAATAAATATAGTAAAATTTGTTGAGAAGATAACATATTAATACTGTATATTTTGTTACGTACAATTAATGTATTTTGCCTAGAAAAGGTTTCGATATAAGTGGTTTATGACAAAAGAAACGAAAAAGCTATGAAAAAAAAGAGAAAAAGAACGACGTTTGTGTCAACAAATTGAGTTTTTCATCAACGAGTGTTTATCAATCATTTGTATATCACCATGACATCGACACCAATAAACATGGATATGTTTTTTTCTAAAGAAGTCTATACAGTTATTAATCAATCGGTGTACTATGAACAACAAATAGAATTTTGTAAATCAATATCTTGTATATACAATTGAATTGATTTTTGTTGTGATACTACAATTATTAGAGTAGACATATCGCATCGTAAATATTATTTATGCACATATGCTTGTCTATTCTTTTTTTCTCTCTTCATAACTACTCCACCCTACCACTTACCTTTCTTTTTCGATCGACCAATATTGATGTTTTTTTTATTATTTCTATTCAACATATATGTGAAGGTAAAAACAACAAAAAGAAATTTTTAAAAAAAATATTTTCTTTTCACTCGTATAATTATTAACCTTTTCTTTTTTTTTCAATAGTGCAAACAATTTCAATTGGTATATCAATTACTTGTTCAATAGAATATAGATTACATAATTCACACTAATTTATCAATTCTATATAAATACGAATAAAATAAGACTATTTATTATACTATTTGTTTGCTATCGGTAATTGCTAATCTTTTTGTATTTAGAGGTACAGCAGAGTTAATGTAGATGACAATGTACGTCATTAAGGTCAATGTGAATCGAAAAAAAAAATATTTGATAGAAATAATCTTTTGTTAATCTGTCATGTTAAAGAATGAAGATAGAGTTTTAATAGTATAAAAAGAAATTCTAATGCTATTATCCTATGGTTAATATTTGATTATCATCTTTATCTTTAACATTCATTTCGAACTAAAAAAAATAATCAATTTCTACGTTATAAGAGTGAATCATTAATTTCGAATACTATACATAATATAAAATAACAAATACGTCTGGAAGAGAATACAATGAAAATTTCTTGTTTGTAACGAATTATGTTTATTAGAACGAACTTATTCTGTAAATCTATGAGTATAAAATATGCACAGTCATTATAGACTTACTGATAAAAAATGATTGTTTTATTTCCAATAATCTATACAAACTCACTTTAGAGCAAAGAATTCTGAAGTATTGCTTATAAACAAACGAAGATGTTATGCTTCCATCGTTTCCAGAACACCAAATGATTGTTTTATGTTCTCTTGTAGAGAGCTACATCGGATCCACAAATTTTTTCTGGACCTGGCTAAAGAATTATACGCCATTGTTCCATCTGGAATACAAATCCATTATTAGGCAATGCATATTTTTAGAGAAAGGTTTACTCTGTTAGTCTATATAATTAGAAGCACGTTACAGTGTCTCATAGTCAATATTTTTTAAAGAAAACGCTCCGGGTCTAAGTTTGAGCCCAGAGTGTATTCGTTAAAAAATCTTGACTATAAGGAACTGTAGCGTGCTTCTAATTACATAGACTGAAAGAGTAAACAGTTCTCTACAAAGTGCATTATCAAATAATAGATTCGTATTCCAGATGATACAATGGCGTATAATTCTTTGGCCAGTTCCAGAAAAACTTTTCGGACCAGATGTAACTCGCTATTCTCTTGTTGTCTCGCCTACTTTCAATATTTTCTTTTATCATCTGACTTGCTTTTTGCATATTTCACAAATTTTGTCATCTGGAGAGTAGAAATCGAAGACGTTGTATCATACTTTTCTAAAAAACACATCTTGTTGCATAAAGGAAATTAAAAAAATTCTTCGCCTTCTGTGTAAATTATTCTTTATGAGTTTTCAACGACAAAACCTTCCCTTGTATCATATATGATTCTAATAGACCATCAATGTCTTCCAATCGATCAATAATTCAAGGATTCAATATCACAAACAAATGTATCATAAACGCATCAATAGAACAATAAAACTTGTACATATTGACGATTCAAATATATTTTATTCTTTTCTTTTTATATCAATTTTAATTGAAACAAGACAATTGATAAAATCTTCATAGGGACATAGGTATTCCTATTAATCATAGTGCGATGATTAAATAAAATGCTAGTAAATAGAATAAAAAATAACAACCATGTTGATAAGTATACTTAAGAGATAATATGTATGAAATTAAAAACAAATATTTTAATTTTATTTGATTACTTATGTGTCTTTTCTCATGATTTAACAAAACATATGGACAGTAGCCGGTTTTTTATTGAAGACTGGAAAATATTTAGTTAAAGACTGGCATAGCTTTGATACGAGTAGCTTACTGATAAGAAAATAACAAATTTGTTACTCGTGAATATAACAGAAGTAGTTATTACAGTCTGATGGATCCATTACTTTAGTCCATTCAATTTCCCAGATGAAAGATTTATATAAATCTGTCAAATATATAAAAAGATTGCAACCATTAGTTCGTAAGCATTTAAATACGCATTCCAAGAACTCTTCTGCTATACTTTTATCATCAAATATTATAAAAATAGAAGATTAATACTTCTATGACTATTTTACATAAGAAAGTTTAGATTAGGAATGACATAAAGGAGAAAATATTCTTCTATATTATAAATTTATTTATAAAATATATGTTATATAATCAAGATGCTTTTATTTTTAGAAGTATTAGATTATAATTTAAAACTCATTGTCTTCTCCAACTAGTTAGCTTCTTAATATCCTATAATCTATTAATTCATAATATAGAAATAATGATGTACGTACATGCAAGATTGAAGAAATCAAACATGTGAGAAGTAATATACAATCACTGTAGGATATTCTATTTTCACTTAAATATGTATAGAATTTAGTAGATATTTAAATAATTTACTTTTTCTTTCATCTTCCTTCTATGAAAAAGCATCATTCTTTTACTTTTTTTTTTCTTTGTGGTAGTTTTTTTCTCTCAACTTAGCTACAACTTTTTATTTGCGTAAAAACATTCTGTTGAGTGAATGTAAAATAAAATATCGTCACCATTATAAATAATAGTTGACAAGTGAAAAAAGCTGAAATTATCCCGAGGGATTTTCGATAATTTTTTTCGAATAAAAATTAAATAGAAAACTTCCTGTAATCAGACTTACGAAAGGTTAAACGCTCATTTATATTTTTCATAAAAAATCTTGCTGACATATTTATTATTTTAAGTTAATATTAAATTCTTATCTATGAATATTTATTAGATAAAAAGTACATTTATTTTTATAAGACTGTATATTTTTATTGTCATAAAACATAATGACAAAAACCATATTTTTATACTAAAAGACTTTTTTATTATATTCAACTGTTTTATATGAAGAAAAAATTTTCTTTTTTTCTTCTGTGTTCATTAATAAAATTTTGATTTCCCTTATGTCATCTCATGTATTCTAATAAGACATCATTTTTAATACCTTTAATTATACTATTAAGCTAAACAACGTTTTTTTTTCCTTCTAATAAAAAACGATACAGCGATACTGTTACAAATGTGACAGGCAGTACTTTAAAGTACGACGAGTACGCTCGTTAGAAAATTTGTTTTTCTATTTCTTTCATTTGAAGGAAAACTTCTTTTTCTTTTTCTAATATTTACTTTTCTCTGATGTTTATTTAGAGCGTTGTTACGTAAAATATTTTATAACTACAGCGTCCTCTATGAAATTGCGTAGATTTATTTTTACTGGTTATGAAATAAAAACGAATGAAAGAAAATATTTTTTTTGTTGACCTTGAAATAAAACCTATCAGATGAATAAACAATCTGAGTAATAAATATACAAAATAATTTCTTTTGTTTTTTAGATCATTGGTCTTCCTAATTATGTCTGAATCAAGTTGTATGCTATAATTTAAAAGCAAAATTTGAAAATTAAACAAATAAATATATTTATATTTACAGGTTTTAGTTATGGGGACAATGGAACATTTTCGCCACCTATGGATGTAACAAATCAAATACAAAATGGAATGCAACATGCAAGTGGAAATTCGAATTATTCAAGTGGTTCGGGTGGAGATTCACCAACTTCATTAAGTCCTGGTAAAAAGAAATTATTTATGGATATTTATATATGTTTTGTTTTTTTCTTTAGCTCCATTGTCATCCGGTGGTCCATTTAGTGGCATTGGCGGGAATTCGAATTCATCAACAAGCTCAACACCAACAGCAACAACAAGTGGTGCCGCCGCTGCTGCTGCTGCATCTCGTTATGCTTGTGTTATCTGCGGAGATAAAGCATCGGGAAAACATTATGGAGTTCATAGGTACGATCCGTACTCGAGCAAAAATGAATACATTTTTTGTTTTGTTTTGTTTTTAGTTGCGAAGGTTGTAAAGGTTTTTTTAAACGTACTGTACGAAAAGATTTAACATATACTTGTCGAGATAATCGTGATTGCATCATTGATAAACGACAACGTAATCGATGTCAATATTGTCGTTATCAAAAATGTTTAAATGTTGGCATGAAAAGAGAAGGTATAAGTAAAGTTTTAATTAAATTAAAAGCAAAATATGTTTGTTTTGTTCTCATGTTTTTAGCTGTTCAAGATGAACGACAAAAATCTGGCATGAGTGGAGAAGGTGAATCACCATCATCACCAACTGCAAGTACAGGTAGTGGTAGTAATCATATGAATATGGGTATTGGCTCATCTGGCTCAGTTGGTGATGATGAAATGTTAATTGAAAAATTAATAGCTGCAGAATTAGCTGTTGAACCAAAATTTACAACATTTCATGAAGAAGATTGTTCATATGAACGTCTTTCATCAACAACTAATACTCAACTTGCTCAATTAATTGAATGGGCTAGACGTGTACCACATTTTGCTACTTTATCAATTGATGATCAAGTTGCACTTGTAAAAGCATCATGGAGAGATATTTTATGTTGTTCATTGGCTTTCAGATCAATGAAGGCACCAGATTGTGGTTTAATTTTATCTGTTAGTATAATATTTTAATATTCATTAATTATCTTTCCAAGTAGAAATGTACCGAAAATAGCTTTATTCAAAAAAAAATACCCCGGAGATCTCTTTTCATCTAATGTACAGCCCAATAATTTTAATTAACTAACATCGAACTCATAGAATTGCTCCGGATATCTTCTGTCTACGATAAATTAATAATAAAGTATATTATTATTATATTTTTCTTTCACAAGGCCATGATATCTTATATTTACATGACAAAATAAAACATCATCTATGAAACCATATATTTTTTATCTCTTCTAGGATGGTTCATATGTTCGCCCACATACAGCAGTTGATCAGTCTCTTCAATTTTTTATAACTCGTCTTTATCATGATGTTGTGACAATATTACGTGAATTAAATGTCGACAAAGTTGAAATAACATGTCTTAAAGCTATATTTCTTTTTGATCCTGGTAAACAATACTTAATTTTTTGGCAATAGTTAAAATTTTGTTTACTTTAGATGCGAAAGATATTGTCGATACATCTCGTATATCTGAATTGCGTGAAAAAGTTTGTATGTCATTAGCATCGTATTGCAAAAAGGCACACAGTGATGATGTTGCTCGTTTTGCTAAATTACTTCTTCGTATGCCACCTATTCGTGGTTGGTGTATAAAAGGTATTGAAAACTTATTTTTCTCTGGTGTTCAACGACCACCCGATAACGACATTGCCAACATGATGCGAAATCGTTAACTTTATAAAAGTCTTTATTTTCTATAATATAGTTGTGAAATATATTTCACGATATAGAGATTAAAAGAAAACAAAAAATAAAGGCAATTAAATAAGTTTTCTTTTTCTTTTTTTTATTTTAATATCGTAGTGTCATAAGTGTATGTTTGTTGCTTTGTAATACTTTCGTCTACATGTTTTTATGTGATACCTGCCTTTTGAAAAATATTTAAAAAATATCTAAAAAAAAAAAAAAGAAGTCTATATACATTTTTTTTTCTTTGCGTTTCACCGGTTTCTTGTTTTTATTTTTTTTTTGGTTGTTGTATATCGTATGTTATCTATCCTGTTTGTTTTTCTTTGAAAATATATATTTATTTGTGCATGTGTGCGTGTGAGTGTGTGTAGACGTGGTTGAAAATATATATTTATCATATTAAAAAAGAAACGTTTAATGGTGTCCTCATATGATCTTTTCGTATAAGGTTGATAACAGATTATAATTAATTAGAAATGAGATATGCTATGGATTGAATTTTATGGAAAATTTGAGATAGGGTCATAAGAAAAATTAATTATAAGTACAAATGACTAATATTTATCAAGATGTATAGAATTAATATTTTTATTACTGGTAATGACAAGTTTAAAGAGTATAAAATAAACGGCACGCATCAGGTCCGTTCTGGGGTTTTAATTGAACATTTCAGTATAATCTTTCAAGTGATTAAATAGGATACATTTATATGCTCATGAATAATATCCAACATGGTTAATCAATAATTCAGATTAATATTTGATTTGATTTACTGATAAACAGTAATGTATTTTGCCTGACATAATTAACTAATCGAATCATCGAATATATGATATACTTTAGTCATATGAATACATTGAAAGCTATTCGCTAGAGACACTATGTTATCTGGGTTTCTTTTTTTGGGTGTGCGAATGGAAATGCCGAGTGGGCGGCACCCGCCAAGCCCACCAGCTAGATAAAACACTGATTATACCCAGACAGACAAGACCTCTAAAAAAACGCGTTTAAAATTCGTAAATACACCGTTTTTGCGTATCAGAAACGCAAAAACGCTATTCTTACGAATTCTTAGCGCGTTTCTATGCAATTTTTTGAAAAGCGTTCTACTGCGTTAAAATCTACTCCGTAGTTACTCGTTGAAACGCGGAATTCAACGTGGTTTTACACGTTATTTTGTGAGTTTTAACGCTTTAAGCACACATTATCGGCGCGTTAATCACAGTAGGCAAAGCTAACGGAGATAAAAAACGTAAAAATGTGCGCTTTTCCCGATTTTATTTTCGTTAAAATTTCAAAATTTCTACGCCGTATTTCTCCGTTTTTTCTGAGTTTTGTCTGTCTAGGTAGAGTTCGAATATTTTGAACAGGATTGAAACGTCTTCAGCAATATTCAAAGAACTTGATTTCATTATTTAGAAATTTTGTTGTAATTATGAAGCCAACTTTGTTAATTTATCAATCTTAAAGTTTACTTAGTTATTTAATATATTCATGACAGAATGAATTGTACTTTGAACTACATAACAACTGATGAAGTCTAATCAGCTGATTATTTTATACATCGTCTTTTTATATCTAATTCATTCATTGTTTGAGAATGATTGAAATCACAATTTGACCTTATTGATTTCGTCACGCGGATTCTATCAACCGATTAAAGCTAATACCGAATTTATTCACATAAGAAATTATTTGATATAATACCTGTTGTGTATTATATATAACTAATCATGTCTGAAGTACGTTAATCACCAATACACAGAATCAAAAGAAAAGCATTTTGTATTTATTTAAATCTAAGTAACAGAACTTTATTTTCTATATTTGTTTTTTTTCTCTGTATATGGAACATATTCGAATAACAAATACAATAATTTCTTTTCAAACGACATCTATAAATAATAAAATAATTTGTTATTTTTACATCGAATCATTATTGGTTTATATATTCTTTACCAACAAACAAAGGCAATATAGAATCAAACGATGGATAAACAATCATCCGAGTAAGATCAGTATTTTTTTAATCGATAAATTTTCTAAATTTTCTTATCAATTTCCTAGAATCGATTGGTCTCAAATATCTAAACCATTATCATCAGCATTATTCGATAAATATACTCATCAATCTATTCTTTCACCTTTAAGCAGTTTAAATATCGACGAAAACACATGGAATGAATGTCGTTCATTTGCATTAGAATTTGCTAAGAAAGGTTTTAGTGATCCTTTAGCAATCTTATATACATCATTTAAACGTTTTTATCCAAATTGTCCATCAATACGTTCATTTTCTCGTTGGTTAACATTATATGAAACTGATAATAATGATTTTAAAGATTATTTTAAACAATATTCAATTCATTCATTAAATTTTCAATCACTTGATGAAATTTTACGTTTAGTAAAAACTCTTCAGATTAATAATGATATTTGTCAATCATATGAACATTTTAATCAACTATGGTTTTTATTTCCAATATCAATACGTGTACCAATAAATGATTATACAATTGTAGCAGATACACTTATTATAAATGATGGTGTTACTCGTTTGGCAGGTAAACAAAAGAAAAGTTCATTATCATCACGTATACATTGTTTATTTGCTTTAACACCAAGTGGAAAATTTTCTAATCAATTAATAGTATTTAAACAAGGAAAAAGTTTAAATATGAATTTTACATCATCAACATTTACACGTATTATACAAACAACAACAGGAAATATAACGTATGATTATATACAACAGTGGTTTGAAGATTTTATTTCATTATCTTATGGAAAAAATAATAGGTAAATAACATATGTTATATAGATATCACATTCGATTTAAAAACATACTCTCCGGACTTTGAAAAGGGCTAATTTATCACTTTTTTTCGATTTTGAATCAGTAATCTTTTATTTTAGCGCAATTCTTATTGATCCTCGAACAACTTTATTAATACCTGAAATTAATTCATTATGTCAAAAATCGAATGTTGAATTGATAACAACGGATTTAAATTATTATTTAATTCGTATATTATCACCAATTTTTTCATTATTTGATAAACAATGTTCAGAAGCAAATCGTTTAAATAAAATGTATTTAAAACCAGCAAGTGATTTAAAACGAATTATTTCTTTATTTTGGTGTACATTACGAACATTAAAACAGAATGAACAAATATGTCAAATTTTTAAAGAAACTCCTTTGTGGAGAAATGATGATGAATTATATTTACAATCTTTAAGATCAGCAATACCATTACCATCACCAAAGAAAATAAAAAAGAAGAAATTACTTGTTAAACAAGGTATATATTTTCAAATTTAGTTATATTGCCTAGACAGTTTTTATACTTCGCAGAAATAAATATGTCAATGAGGAAATTCTATAAGGTTAATATAGAGTAACGAAGGTGGAATAAAAATATCGAGAAGTGACATAAAAGTTAGTGCTAACAGTATTATACGCTGGTTAAGATTAGACATGTACCGATAGTGAATCTTTCGACCGTAATTTAGTATATATCGATCTAGTCTTATGTCATTAGCATGAAATATGATGAGGTCAAAACTCTGCATTTAGGTACATCTCGAAGCGAACTATTTGATGATAAAATTTCATTGTGTCTGATCGAGAGCAATCCATAGATTCTATTTCAGTCCTGAAAGTTACCAGAAACACTGTCAATAATATTACTCACCCAGGTCGAACAATCAGATAGCAAGATCTGGTGAGAATCGTATGCCTGATCTGATGAAATCAGACAAGGATCGTACAAAAAATCGTGGTTCCTGATTTCTTGCACTAAATCGTACTAAAAAATTCTTGTAAGATTCTGTTATGCGGTAGAATGTCATCAAAATATTTCATTAAAACTAATATCTTCTTAAAATCTCACTCCAAATTTCTACTGAAAAGTACAGTGCCCGTCAGATCTTTCAAAAAAAATGTGGTACGAGTTGATACAAGATTTCAGGAACCACGATTTTTTGTCAGATTCTTGTAAGACTTCGTTCATATTACAAGATCCTGTAAGACATTACAAAATCTGATGTCATATTTTTTGACCTGGGCACGTTCTATGAGAAAAAGTAACCGTCCGTATTTGTCGAAAACGTTAAATAGGATTCCAAATAAGTAAATCAGACAAAATCTTGAGACAGCATTAATTAATATTTCTTTTATAAATAAACATATGATGCATATATTCAATTATCCTTACCTTAAATCAACTAAAACCTAATGAGATTGAATAGTATTCGTATATTCAGCTTTAAATAAATCTTTTTTTATATTTCAGGTAGTAAAGTAAAACTATCGACATCCACATCAACAATGATGAATGATCCACCTAATGAATCAACTCCGGAACAAATATTATCCTATGTAATACAAAGACAAATATCGATTTCACGTGCCAGTAAACATTTAGGTGGTATGAAATTAGATTATTTAAAATACTGCCTTTCATATAAATCCAATTCATTAATGACTGGTCCACATCTTGTTCAATTAAATAGATTTATGCAATCACAAACAACCGTCGAATGGCTACGTCATTTACGTTCATTATACTATTGGCCTTGTGCTAAACAATTATTTTTAAGAGAAATTTATCAATTAACTGGTATAATAGCACGTAAACGTTCAATGAATATGTGTGGAAATGGAAATATGGGTTCAATAAAAAGTTGTGATTTACAATCACCAGGCATTTTTTGGAGAGCTTTTGAAGATATTCATCAAATTCATTTTGATAATGAATCGATTATTGATGATGATCAATGGCATGATGATTTTCAACAATATCTTATTGATAACAAACTTAATAATGAAAAAGTAAGAGAATAATTTCTATGTGCATTGAATAATAATAGATGCTAAAATTAAGGAAATCATATTCAGTGCAATAATTGAAACGACGCGAAATGACTACCTAATGAAAATTATCTTGTAGTTTTATGTCAGTGAAAGAATAACTGTCTGAAAAAATCCTAGTGCATCACATTTCTTATTTATATTCACTGATCAATAAAAGAATCTTTTTCTTTTAGACACAATTATGGACAATGGATACATTTGAATTTCCGTTAACAAAAAAATCAACTGTACTTCAATTACCTGAATGGAATGAATTACGTCCAATGAATTTAACACCGAAAGTAACTGTACTCTATGCTTTTTCTAACACTGGTCAATCAACAGAACCATATTTTATTTTTCCGACTTCACTTCAAGATAGTACAATATCTGATGAAAAAGATTCATATAATGAATTAGGTCATTTAACACCTCAGATATTTCAGAAATGGATTGAAAATAATTTTAATCAAAATATTAATTTCAATCAATCTTCAATTGTTCTTATTTTTTGTTCACGTTTACCTCTTCTATCACCTGATATACTTTCTTTACTTAAAAATTCTCATATCTATCCATATGGTTATCCATATACACGTACATTATCATTTCGATATTTATTCGAACGACGTGTTCGAAATAATCGTTCAACAAATTTAATGAGTGAATTATGGAAAAAGAAATTATTAGAAGAACAACGTACGCATGTATTAAAAGGTTTACATTGTACAGTTAAAAAAATAAAATATTATTTTGAACAAATATGGTTACAAATAATTAATGAAAATCGAGATGATGATGATGAAAATAAAACATTTGAAGATAAATGTCTAGAAGCATTTCAACAAGCAAATATTCAAATAAAATTAAATACAAAAAAGAAAAATACAATTAAATTAACACCGAAAAAATCTTCAAAGAAAACGAATCAATCAGATGACAACTTAGAAACAACAAATAAAGAAGAAATGGTTGATCAACTTAATCATTTAATAACAGTAATAAGTCATTTTAAGGAACATATTACATCAACGAATTCATCACAAATTCTTAAAATGAATAATCATATAGAACAAACTACCGATTGTAAGTAATCCAATGAACTCCATTTAATAGTATAAATATTATAGCATCAATAGAAATATTATCTGCTAAATGAGCTGAATCAATATTTTATTTTTCTACAATGAATGCGTTATAATATGATCAATCATAATGATATATATATAGGGGCGGCGCGAGTCAGCCAACACTGGAGGGATGCAGTAAAAGTTTTTGGAGCAAAAAGATGAATTTCACGATTTGGGGGGGGGGGGGGGGGGGGGGCGTGTAGAATTACCTTTGGTAAATAGCCTAAGAAGATTTGCCGATTTTGGTGAGCAAAAATAGGAATTTTGAAAGATTGGAGTGGTGTTACACCCCCGGCACACCACCACCCCTGTAAATGTATCTTTAATTAAAATTTCAATCTTCATTAGAGAGCTGCGGATCTGTTCAGATGCGAACTCTTTTTTCTGTCAGATATAAATTCATAGAGAACCGGACCGATGAGCACACAAGCATCTGAATGTGGCTGAGGGCGCTGATCCAAAAAAGATAACATCGATAGATTCCTGTATCCATATCGATTCATATTTGCCTTGACTTCCTTTGTTTTCGTCGATATTATGGATCTAAACACTCGCGTGCTCATTGCTCACTGACCGAAATTCATAACTACCCCTCTATTTTTTAATTCGTAAATCATTATTGTATATTTTATTTTAGGTCAACAGTCCGTTAGCTCAAATGAAATAACAGATAATATGGAGAATGGTCATCATCCATCTACATCATCAGAATCACTTCCAAATTATAACCTTAGTCTACCATCCACAAGTGATAAACGTACAATTGATGAAAATGATGGACCCCAAGCAACTAAACGTTTACGTTCATCTAGTTCTCACGCAAGTAATAATTGTAATTCAACAACAATTATTAAATGGATTCCACCATCGAATCAACTTATTACACATTTACAATCTCAATCATCATCATTATTTCAGTTTATCTTAGCACTTATTCAAACAATAATTTCTTCAGCCGATAATCAACTTACAGATGAACATTCACGTTGGTTATATTCAACGCTTGATTTATATGATCATAACTATAATAATGAAAAAATCAACATTCTTATTGAAACAGCATGTAAAGTAGCAAAAATAAATTTTGTCAGATAAACCTTAAAGACTAACCCTTTGTTTTATAATCCATTCTGTAATTTCCTTTTCTTTTGTGTCTTTTGTTTTTGGTCAGATACATTTTCGACCATAATACTCATTTGTGTATGTAATATTTAAAAAAAAATGAAAATGAATTGTTAAATAATCTCATAAAAACAATTGATTATTATTGTAGATAAATAACAATCACCCGCTAATAAATTTCAATCATGTCTGGTTTAACACAAACAACTGCATGGAAGAATTTAAAAAAACTTTATGATACTGTTGGTATTAATCTTAATCTCCGACAATTATTTTCTGAAGATGAAAAACGTTTTCAAAGTCATACATTAGAATTAAATACACCAGATGGTTTAATTTTATTTGATTATTCAAAAAATTTAATCAATACTGATATTTTAAAAGAATTATTTGCTTTATGTCGAGAATGTAATGTTGAAGAACAACGAACAAAAATGTTTAGTGGAGAATTGATTAACTTTACTGAAAAACGTGCTGTTTTACACACCGCATTACGTGCACCAAAAGATGCAAAGGAAGTTATTGTTGATGGAAAAAATGTTATACCTGATGTTCATCGAGTTTTAGAACAAATGAAAACATTTTCCGAATCAATTCGTAGTGGACAATGGAAAGGTTATACCGGAAAAGCTATTACTGATATTGTTAATATTGGTATTGGTGGTTCTGATCTCGGTCCTTTGATGGTTACTGAAGCATTGAAAGTAAGACAGAAAAAAAAGATTAACGAAAAAATAAATATCTTGATTTTTTTTCTTCTTCTAGCCATATTCAAAAAATGGTCCAAGTGTTCATTTTATTTCGAATATTGATGGTACACATTTAAGTGAAGTTGTATCAAAATTATCTCCTGAAACAACATTATTTATTATTGCATCAAAAACATTTACAACACAAGAAACAATAACAAATGCTGAATCAGCTAAAGAATGGTTTCTTAATAAAGCTCTTGATAAAAAACATGTCGCACAACATTTTGTTGCTTTATCAACAAATACACAAAAAGTAACGGAATTTGGTATTGCAAAAGAAAATATGTTTGAATTTTGGGATTGGGTTGGTGGTCGTTATTCTCTTTGGTCAGCTATTGGTCTTTCAATTGTATGTTCGATTGGTTTCGAGAATTTTCAACAATTATTAGCTGGTGCACATTCAATGGATAAACATTTTCAAGAAACTCCATTAGAAAAAAATTTACCCGTTATTATGGCTGTACTTGGTATATGGTATAATAACTTTTTTGGTGCAGAAACACAAGCTATTTTACCTTATGACCAATATATGCATCGTTTTTCTGCTTATTTTCAACAAGGTGATATGGAAAGTAATGGAAAATATCGAACAAAAGAAGGAAAACAAGTAGATTATACAACTGGTCCAATTATTTGGGGTGAAGTAAGTCAATTAAATAAAGCATCTTAACTCTTTCAGGACTGTGGTACAACATATGTGCCACCTACCCTGAAGGGGGGTCCAGGCATTTAAAAAAAATGTTTTTTTTTTTTGAGTCGCGGTTAAAAAGGTAGTTTAAGAATAATACACTGATCGCGAAAGCAAAACTAGTACTGAAAGGGTTAAATACCAATACTAAAGGTTTATTTGATTTCTGTTTTTCTTCTAGCCCGGTACCAATGGTCAACATGCATTTTATCAATTAATTCATCAAGGTACAAAATTAATTCCATGCGATTTTATTGCACCAGTTGAAACACAAAATCCCATACGTGATAATCTTCATCATAAAATTTTATTAGCTAATTTTCTTGCTCAAACTGAAGCATTAATGCGTGGTTTAACTGAAGAAGAAGTTCGATCAAGTAGTAGTGGAAGTGATGATTTACTTATTTATCATAAAACATTTCGTGGTAATCGACCAACAAATTCAATTGTTTTACCACGTTTAACACCATTTACATTGGGTTTATTAATTGCAACATATGAACATAAAATATTTATTCAAGGACAAATATGGAATATTAATTCCTATGATCAATTTGGTGTTGAACTTGGTAAAAAATTAGCACAAGTTATTTTACCTGAATTAGATGCAACTCAACCGGTCACTGCTCATGATCCATCAACAAATGGTTTAATTAATTTTATCAATAAATACCGAAAATGGACACCAGGAACAACATTAGCCAAACAATAAAGACATCTATTTTATTTCGATTTTTTTAGATAGAGCAATAGGAACTTTTAGTACAGCCCAGTTATTGATTTTATTTTTTTCATTATTTTATTCTGTTCTGTTTTAGAAATAGAAACAAAAAAAAGAACCCGGTCGATAAAAAAAAAGTATCTTGCGTAATTACGATAAAGTACACATATATATAAGCAGTAGTATTGCGAAAAAAATTGTATGCTTGAAATTGACATGATTATTTGTGTTTGTCAAGGTTATTCAGTAGTAGTCTTTCACATTCTTTCTTTTTATCTCACTTACATCTCAACACTATTATTTTTAAATCAAAATTAGCGTATAGATATTTTCTTTCTTTAAATATAATTATATTTTCAACGAACGATATTATATTTTTAGATAAATAACATTCTTTATCTTCTATAATTATTAAAATGGTAAAAGACAAGATTAATAAATATAATTTATTGTTATTTTTCTTCTTAGAAACCAATCCTTCTTCAAGCACATGAACGTTCTTTAACAAAAATTCGTTACAATCGTGAAGGTGATCTTCTATTTTCATCTGGTAAAGATAAAATTCCATCAGTATGGTATTCAATCAATGGCGAACGTTTGGGTTCTTATAATGGACATAATGGAACAGTATGGACATTAGATGTTAATTGGGATTCAACATCACTTGTAACAGCATCAGCTGATAGTACAGTTCGATTATGGGATGTTCAAACAGGACGTGAACGAAATGTTTATCAACTTGATACACCATGTCGTGTTTGTGCATTCAGTTATGATGGAAATAGAATTTTATATACCAATGATGATGTTATGGGAAAACCTTGTGAAATGTACTTGACAGATATTAGAGCAAGTCGTACGTAGTATTTTTTGAATAAACAATTAGAATATTATATCTATGATTGTTTCGTTTGCAGCCAATGAAGGTCCATCAGCTCGTATTAATATATCACAAAAAGGACTTCGAAAAGCAACAAGTGGTTTATGGGGTACATTAGATGAATTTATTGTAACTGGTCATGATAATGGTGAACTTGTTCAATGGGATATTAAAGTATAAATATTTAATTTATATAAATTTATAAAAAAAAACTAATTCATTATTTAGGCTATGGATGAAGTACGTAAAGAAAAACCACATTCAGCACAAATTATGGATTTACAAGCTAATAAAGATTTAACATTTTTAATTTCATCATCAAAAGATTGCACAGCTAAAGTAAAATTATTTGAGAAAAATTATTTAAAATAAACTTTCTTTTTTTCAGTTATTTGATATTGAAACATTAGAACACGTAAAAACCTATACAACAGAACGACCTGTTAACTCTGCTGCTATTTCACCACTTAAAGATCATGTTATACTTGGTGGTGGTCAAGAAGCTATTGAAGTATTTTTGTTTTTATAATATTATTTACGTAAAAAACAATTTTGAATTTCTTCCTTAGGTAACACAAACTTCTGTTCAAACAGGTAAATTTGAAGCCCGGTTTTTCCATTTAATATTTGAAGAAGAATTTGCCCGAGTAAAAGGTCATTTTGGACCTATCAATACAATTGCAATTCATCCCGATGGAAAAAGGTTTGTTTAATTTCGAAAACAATTCTCTTTATACATTTATTCAATTTTAGTTATGCCAGTGGAGGTGAAGATGGTCTTGTACGGATACATTATTTCGACAATGATTATCTTGATTATGATATTGCTTATTAAACCGAATTTTTTTGTTTGTTGTTGTTATGAAACAGTATAAACACAAAAAAAGAATAAATATATCAAAGCATGATCATCGTTAAATTTCTTTTTTTCTTTATCAAATGTTGTGCGATAATATTCTACCATATGCAAATAATATCAATACTAACGAAATGTTATAATTGATAGAATTGGAAGTTTATAGAAAAGAAGACAATGAGTCTTGATGAATCTTTAAAATTCACACAGCCAAGATAATAAAATATAATGATAAGATGCATATTCTTGTCTATATTAGTTTAATTAAACTATAAATACAGCGTGAGATACACTCTATGAGTTCATAAGAGATCGTATGGATATTTTGGTTAAGTAAAATCGATTTTTTAGGCCAAAACAATGAGTTCATTTGCAGATGTTACTATAGATTTGGTTTATGTTTGGCTGATTATCTGAATAGAATGATGTGAGAAAAAAAGTACAAGAAATCAGTGAGGGAGTGGAGTGGCTGCTGTGGTGAAAAAGCTGTTTCTGAAGTAGTATACTGTCTTTTCCAACGCTTTTTGTCGAGAAAAGAAAATAATCGCCAGGGGGTGGCAGTCGCCGGATCGCCAACTGCTGTGTTCGCCATTACAAGAAACAATATCATATTAGCTGAGAATAACCAATGATCAGCTAAAATCTTGATTGTCCTATTTGTTCATGTACATAAATGTATCAGACAATATTGGTTGTTTCTCCATTGTTTGTATTAAAAACTAAGAAACTATTTGTCTGCTATTGACATCAATTGTTGTTGTATACAATTGTATTCTGGAATCTATGGATGTTTTGTTGTAGTCAGATAACCGATAAAGGTCAACGTATGGTCTTGACGTTCTTAACAGCACAACGTCTTATAAATATAGTTCTTGTTTATTATTTACACTGGGATCATGTTGAACATTTAGTGTTATCCTTTTACCTGTATATGCGACAGATTTTATAATTAGAAATATACGGCTATAAATTCGATCTAGTTCTTTATCTATGAAAAATTTGTTTGGATTTTCTTGTTATTAAAGTCAACACAAAAAACAATTCAAATCAATTGAAAATAGTTCTTACATTCTATTTTAGATATTTTTGTATTTATTAACCAATGTGTGTTAATTTCAATTGATTAATCTTCTAGCGAATGTCTTTAAATACATGTATTTTAAAATCAGCTATCGAAACAAAAGTATAATTTGTCTTCTATTCTGTATTAATACTTATTTTTCTTTAGAAAAAAAAATCAATGCCAATGACAGACGCAAGTAATCAACAAACCGATTCACCATCATCATCACCACATGATAGTAGTAGTGGTAATAGTATAGATATTCAAGCAATAGCAGCCTCGAATCGTCGATCTCAACGACAACGAAAAGTAAAATTGATAAAGCATTTTTGTTTTCTCATATATGTAAATACTTTGCTATAACAGAATGTCCAACCAAATATGCGAAGTAGCTCATTAACAACAACAATTCTAAATGAAAATGGTCATGCCAACGACTATTTATTAGAAACAACCAAAGAGAATGATAATCATCAGAAAGAAAAACGTTCTTTACCTGTTATTATAGATAAACTTGTTTTTAAAACATCAAAATTAAATCCAAATTTACCTTATTGGACAGTTACTGATCGACAAAGTGAATGGTATAAACTTACGACACCCGTTAATCAATCAACAAGCAATTGTAATAATAACAATAATACATATCAATCATCATTAACAGCATCTTATCGATTATTACCAACTATATTCGAAAGAAAAAAATCTAATTCTAATCTAAACGATCAAACTGATGAGCTAACGTATGTGTCAGTTAATTCTCTTCTAATTTTTAGTAATTCTTTCCATTTGTCATATCAATTTAGTTAATATATACTGAGTCCATTCTCTTTTGGTAGTAGAATATGTGTCGATAGTTGATTACTGTACTCCGAGAACTCGTTTAGTAGATATTTTAATTATTCAAATATTTAACACTTTTCTTTCAAAATAATCTGGATGATGTCGAGCATTTTTTTTCTGCTTTTAATCTTAGTACAACCAACTATTGTTACATCATATACTATAAAATCATGTTAAATACAGAACTACGATGATGTAAGAGTTAAATCATTTCTATCAAACTCCACTCTTATATATTGATATATTTTTCACACGAAGAATAAAAAATAAATTATTAATTTCTATATGTGTTATATTCAATCGAACCATGACTTTTGTATTTCATTCTTAGGAACCCTCCCCTAAAACACAGTATGATTTATTAGTAATAGAATGGAAATTATACTTTAATATCGATGTATTTCGAATACAATAATCTGTCACAAGTGTTTGTATTCATCGAAAATATTAATTATAACACTTATTATAGAATCTATTTCGAATTATATTCAATAGTATCACACAGAGCACTACAGGGACATACTTATTCTTCTCTATTGAAGTTGATTAACTATGTTGAAATAATCTAACACTTTTGTTTTTACGTATTTCAATTTTTTTTTCGAAATTAATTTCTAGTAATACAACTCAATTGATAATGAAAGTAGTCATGCATGAACTTGATTATGATATGGATGATAATGATCTTGAATTTTTAAATGATCTAAATCAATATATGAATATTGAACGTATGATTTTTCTTGTCTCATTTATATAGCATTTTTCTCCAAATTTTAATTAGAACGACGTCAAATGACTGAAGAAGAATTTGAAAATGCAATAATTATATTAGAATATTATACAGCTGAAAAAATTCGTTTATATCTTAAACAACAATTATGTGAAGATGAAGATATTGTATGTGATATATGTTTGTTACCAGATGCTGATGATGAGAATGAAATGGTTTTTTGTGAACGATGTAATGCATGTGTACATCAAAATTGTTATGGAATATCAGTTATACCTAATGGAACATGGCTTTGTAAATCATGTTCAATTTTAAGACGACCTGCTTGTTTACTTTGTCCAAAGTAAAAATATTATTATTTTATTATGGTTTAAACATGTTTTGTTTCTTAAAGATTGGGTGGTCCAATGAAATGTACACCAAGCGGAACTATTTGGTGTCATTTAACATGTGCTCTTTGGTTACCTGAATTAAAATTTGGTGATTATGTTAAAATGGTACGATAAAAACTTGCTAGAAAAAAATTTTTATATTCAAAATTTTTCTTTTAGGAACCAATATTAAATTTAGATAAAATTCCACATGCACGATGGACACTTCGTTGTATTGTTTGTTCAACATCAGAAGGAGCTTGTGTACAATGTGCACATAAAAATTGTCGTACACCATTTCATGTAGGTTTCATAAAAGAACGAGAATCTTTAGAGAGAAATGCTTTCAACTAATATATAAAAAATTAACTTTCTTCAATTATTCGAGTCATTCTTCTTATCTTAAAAGAAATTTAATATGACAGTGATAGTTTATGGAATTTTTTATCAAATAAAATAGAAATGCTTTGTTATGTTGTTTTAAAAACGACATTATTTGAGAATAATTACTCTTATAAGTGCTTTTTGAAGTTTATTCTTAAAAACTTACACTTCATCATACCAGGCATGATATTTCAAAATAAACGTCAGTCATCAGTAATGTTCAATTAATAATGAAGTTATGCGTAAAACTATTCAACTCATCATTAGTATGGAGTAGAAAAAAAATTATTTATTTTTCACTTCATATAATAATAATATAAAAATATAGAGTTTTGCATTCGTTAGGTTACTTGTGGCCTTTCAGCTGGATATTTTCTTGATGTTCAACAAAGTTCATCAGAGGGAACAGCTGGTTTACGTTCACAATTTAATGCCTATTGTCTTAAACATTCCGAAGAAGCTCGACAACGTTCTGAACCAGAATCATCATTAAATTTAAATACAGATGATGATTCATCATGTTTACCTTCAAATATTCCTTTAACAGTTTATCATCGACAAAAACTTAAACTAGATGAATGGACACCAAAATCTTATGAAAATTTTCATACGTTTATTCTCTCATCACATTTAAATGATGACTGTCCACAAGATTATGATGAATCTATATCAAATAAAATTTATAATTATTGGAAAGAAAAACGAATTATAAATAAAAATTTTCCATTAATTAAACGTATTGATTTTGTTCTTGATCAACGTGAAAATGCTGAATTACTTCTTGCACAAATAAATAATTATCTTAAAATAAGAAATAAAATCCGACAGGTAAACAATTTCTTTTTAATTAATGATGTATAGTACAAAGTTCTTTTTTTTAGCTTCAAAATTATTGTAAATCTACATTATATACTCCATCGTCTTCATCTCTTCTTAATCAACGTCTTGAAAATTTAAAATTATCATTTTCTATTAAAACACAACGTCATAATAAATCTTCTTATTATAAATTAATTGAAGATTCCAAACGTTGTATTGTTGCTTTAGAAACAACATATCGTGATGCGCTGGAATTAAATACAACATATCTTGTAGGAAAAACATTAGAAGGCGAAACAATGTTATTACCAAAACAACTTATAGAACAAGCTAATGTTATTACAATAAATGATGATCATAGTATTAAAGAAGAAGCAGAAGAAGAAGAAGAAGAAGAGGGTGATGATGAAGACGACACTGAAGAACTAGATAAGATTCATTTGGATATAGCCAATGAAAATAAACATGATGAGAAACAAACATCAGTAAAAGATATTATAAAAACACCTTATATATCTCAAGGAAATGTTGTTCGATGTGTTACAGGATCTTTCGATTAAAAAATCTTCTATTTTTTGTTTTTTTTTGTAGAAAAAAAAGTTCTTTCAATTTTCTGTCTTTTTTTTGTGTTATCATTATTATTGTTGATGTACTATAAATAAGAGAAAAAAAAGAGTAGGTGTTATTTTGATTTTTCTATTCATTCATATAAATTTTGCCGGAAGAAGAAAAGACGTCAATGGTAACGTCAGCTTACTTCTCATTTTATCTCATATTTCCATTATTTTTTTTTTCTGTCTCGCTTTTCCTTTGCTCACAATTCCTCTTCTCATACTCATATATTATATAGTATAGAGAGAAAAAAAAACTATATATGTTAAGACAAAAAGATCGGTAGGCAAAGTATTGCCATTGAGTTTTTTGATGCTGTGCAGCTTGAATAGTGTTCGAAGAAATATGAAAGCGGAAAAAGAGAGAAGAGGAAAAGAGAGCGACAGAAGGGGAAGAAAAAAGACGACAACCGAGCGGAATGAGCTGCAATAAAAAGAGAGCTTACTCGCTGTTTTTTCTTCCTCATTCGTTCTTATTGCATCGACAAGGAAGGGAGTGCCGCCATCATTTTCACGCATTGTCACTACATTACGTCTTATATTTTTACATTTATTAATGATCTTGCTTGATAGTTCTTTTTTTTTCTCCAGTAACTATATAGTTTAACACGTTCTAGATATTAATTAATGACAATGTTATGGTCGATTTTTCAAGTGATCATAGCTGGAGCTGGTATGAATAAAATATATTAAATTCTTTAAAAAAAAATTCTTGTTTTAGTATTGGCCAACACAAAGGCAACGTCAGTAGAAACGAACACGGCAAGGACAAAACCGAATTGGTTTGATCCTGTTCTTTCATCGAATGCATATGTTGGTCATATGAAAGAAAATGAACGTATTGTTCACCTTGAACCTCATCTGTACGCATCGGATGCTGATCCATCAATGTCTCCTACGGGTTTGTTAATATGCAAACAATGATTTTTTTTTTTTTTTAAAGAAAGAAGTTTCTTTTTTCTTAGGCAAAATTTGTGGCTATGAATTATCGTTACATAAGCATGATGATACAGTTAGTGAAGTACCACAAAATATTCCATTTATAGTTGAATTCAATAATGAACAAGCTATTATCAAACTTAAATCTAGTATCGATAAAGTCGATTGTGAAATAAAACAAAATTATCGTTTATTTATACGTGCATATGATTGTGGTAATGATAATCAACGTCGTTATTCGGAAAGGTAAAAATTATTATCCAATAAAATACGCTAATTTTTTGAAAATTTAGATCATCATTAATTATTACAATTGATGACATTAATGAATTTGCACCAGTTTTTACACATAAAAATTATATATTTAAATTACATCAAGATCAAATTTGTTCATCATGTCGTGTATGTAGAAATAAGATTAAACGGAAATCCTTTTAAATATTTTTTTGTTTTTTTAAAGGTTGAAGCAACAGATGATGACTGTGCAAATACCAATCATCGTGTATGTGATTATCAAATAAGAACACCTAATGTTCCATTTAGTATCGATTCAAATGGTTCAATATCAATTACAAAACCATTAATGAATGATAATTATGAATTTGATGTTGTTGCAATTGATTGCTATCCATTATTATCAGATGTTAATACAAAATTAGTTAGTGAACCAACTAAAGTTACAATCAAAGTTGTTAAATCATGTAAACCATCAATAACAGGTATGAAAAAATTTGTTTTGGTTTTCTTATTACGGAAAAAGATAAATCTGATTTTATTGATGTTTTTTCAAATTAATATTTTTAAGAGAAAAAAAATAATAGACTCGAGGAATTACCTTAAGAAATTCTATACTTATTTATATCTAAACGAAGTCTAGGTAAGATAAAAATTTGTAATAGAATTTTAAATTAATCCAGAAATCTTTAAACGATATATTATTTATAATATTATCACAACCATAAGGCATATGGTTATTCAATTATTAAAATCGATTGTGAATATTTGAGTAATATGATAACCAGATATCGACATAACTATCTTTAACCTTCTGAGTTACTATTCATGTTATCTATAAATAGAAATCTTATATAAAGAAATTCTTTAAAATGAATCATAATTTTTTTCAATAATAATAAACTTTTAAATTATAGAGAATTTAAAAAGAAAATAGTTTATTGTTTTCCTATATATATTATAATTATAAGTCTGAAAAGAATATTCAAGCTTTTAGAAATGTTGTTTTTTATTCCATTTGAAAAGATATTTACACATATTCTAGGAAAAAACATTTTAGATGTTCTTCATGGGTAACAATATTCAGGAAATCTTTTTTCTGAGTTTCCGCAGCACGCAACATTTTCTACGTGTATACTGAATAAATATCTACTTAAGAATAATTAACATCTATTCAGTAGCATATTTTGAGAGCATTTTTTAAAATACGGCAATTGCATGTCCGTATATATATATATGTCGAAATTTTTTATAATCTACTTATTAATAATTACAAAAAAGAAGCAGTTAGAATTTTCTTTTTTTATTAAGATAATAATCCAACAAAATTAACAATTCTTTCTGATCATACACATATATTCGATACTGTACATGTTGATACATGTGATGAAACGTGTGCTGTTGAAGAGATTGCTGGTATAGTTACATTCGATACTAATGGAATCGATAGTGGTTGTAATCTTGAACAATGTTGTATGTATTTTGTAACAGAAAAAAAAGAAGAGATTTTGATTATGATTGTTTTTTTTCTCGTATTCTTAAAGCATCAGTTAATCGTGAATATGTTTTAATACCAAAAGATGTTGATTATAATCAAGCACCTAAAACACGTTCTATGTCATTTGATGGTTTTAATCAAGCTTCAATTATTCCTAAAGCAGATTTTTCTGGTCAATTAAATAATAATTTTACTATTCGTATGTGGATGAAACATTCAAATGAAGAAAATAGTGACAAAGAACATATATTTTGTAAAAGTGATGAAAAATGTAAGCGAAATATTGTTATTTATTCTTTTTATTTTTATAAAAAAAATGAAATTTTTTATTTTTTCTAGTGAAAAATCGTCATCATACAGCTTTATTAATTCAAGATGGTCAGTTAAAATTATTAATACGTAAAGGTCCATTATCATCGAATGATAAAAATGTCTATACATCCGAATGGGTATGGAATTTAGCACAAATAAATGACAATCAATGGCATTCATATAAATTATTTGTCAACTATCCAAATAAAGTATAATATTTTCTAAATTAAAATGAATCTTTCTATCTTTTGTTTTTAATTCTAAGATTGATTTATATATCGATGATCAATTATTTATCGCAACAAATGATAATTTTCATACGGTTGAAGATTTTGCATTACCAACTATCGACGGAACTGAAGGAACAGTTTTTGCAGTGGGTGCTTGTTGGCATGGTAAGTTTTCATAACATAATATAAAAGTTATGTATACTAATGATATTCGAGAATAAATAAGTGTATATCATGAAAGATAAATCTTTTTTTTTGACATTTTTATTAAATTACAAATGATTGAGTTGTTCTAAAAGTGCTAATGATTTAGATGATTATTATATTTTTTCTTTGTATGTCTAGGTCGTGCATCTCATATGGTTCAATATTTTCAAGGAGATTTATCAGGTCTTATAATCGAACAAAAAGAAGAATTGTCACGTTCAATTTCTTGTATACAAGATTGTCAACAATATCTTGACATGCCTGATGTTCAGACAGATTCTGGCATTGTAAGTTAATTAAAAATTTTTTGACAATAAACACAAAAACAGAATAATATTTATTCTTTGCAGGAATTTAGTAGTAATTCAAATCGAACTATTTGGAATTTACGTACAGATTCAAGTGAATCATTTGAACAATTATTAAAACATATTGTTTATCGTAATACATTTGATCCAATTGGTCCATCGGGTCAACGTACAGTATCAATACAAACAATAATAAAATGTTTAGGTGAAAATTATACATATAATTTACCAACATTTTCCCGGCGTTTAGCAATTGATGAAATAATTCATCCAACAAATATTGAACTTAAAGGTGATACAAATTTTTATGTACCTGAAAGTGTACTTGATCAAGGAATATATTTATTTCGAAATTTATCAATACTTACTGATGCTATTAAAAAAGATCAAGTTGATATAAGTGATTGCAGTATAAATACAACACCTGATTTATCAAATGATGAACAATTTATTTTACCGGATGAAAATCTTGAATTAAATAATATTCGAAAAGATCATACTCAAACTGGTTTAGTACTTTCAGGTATATATTTAGTTGAATGGTTCTATACTAAAGAAAGAAAAGGTTCGAATCTTAATATCGGCAACATTGCATTTGATCAGGAATCTTTAAATAGATATATATGACTGATTGATAAAACTCGTTGTCGAATAAAAAATTCATTCTTGGGCTTACACTTCTGGTTTCCTATTGTATTGAAATAAAGAAGAGGAATACCGAGAATACAAAAAAAATTTATTAATTTTCTTTTTCTATAGGTTCTAGCTCAATTGATACTTATCGATTTATTCTACAACAAATTGCATATGTATCAAAATCACCTGTAAAATATATTGATCGAACATTTTCACTTGTCTGTATCGGTGTACATGAACAAGTATCAACAAATGAAATTCGCGTTCGAGTAAGATTTATTCTAATTTTTTTTGAATGAATATTTTTCTTTTTTGCTTAGGTTCATGTTGAAAAACAAATTGCACCACCTGCTCCTGTTGCAGCAGTATCATCAAATAAACTCTATGTTGACAACATTCAAATTGAAGATAGTTTATTAGATATGGAATCAAGCTCACGTTTAACAAGTAATACATCAAGTAAAAAATTTAACAATAATAATTCTTTAATTAAAGTAGGCATTTCGGGTTCGGGTTCGGGTTCGAGTTCGAGTTCGGGGTAGTTTGGACCGAACTCTAACAATTTAAGCATCGAAATAATTTTTCTGATATATGTGGAGACATATTAATAGAAACTATGAAACGTCAACGGGACCCGAACTGTTCGGGTTCGGTTGATGTTTCATAATTTCCTTTATTATGCTTCAACACATGTCAGAAAAATCATTTCGAGCTTAAATTGTTAGAGTTCGGCCCAAACTACCCCGAACCCAAACGTTCGGGTTCGCTACATGCCTAAATTAAAGTAAAACTAAGTTAATTAGTACGATATGTATACTAAGAAGTGCATTCTTTGTCATAAAAACTGATGAATAGAGAAGAAGAAAAAAAACTCATCTGGTAATCGATGATTTGTTGTTTACAACAAATTTTTTTAGCAGCTGTATGCCGAGCGAACTACGAGACAAGAGTGATGATTGTATTGTCTGATATACTTATAATGCTTTACTATCTATTTCCTGCACTCACTGACTAGCCGAATATTTTATATTTACACATTGAACAGTAAATAGACAACAGAAAAGCATATATGTCGAAAAGAATTGTAATTATCATCAAAACTAAAAAATCTCTTCACTAGATTTTTTTTATAAAAGTAATTGAACATAAATAGATAAACTGTTCGTATATGTATATATTGAGACTAGACATAAAGTCTAGAACGAAAGCAATAAACGAATTATTTTGTTTGCTAAATGTGTATTGTTATTCCATCGTCGTCGTACGATAGACGAAGAATAAGGAGAAGAAGAAAAAATAGAAGAAGAAGTCTTCTCCTTGTCTTTTTTTCTCATTCGTTCTTGCTTATAATTATCTCTCGGGTTTATGCGCGCAGAGGAAGAAGTAAGGGAAGAGAAAAAAAACGAGAAAAATGAATGCAAGCCTATTGTAAAAAATAATCGAGTATCTGACTGGGTGTATGTTCGCGCTCGCGCGTTTCATCGTTGGAGAACATTTTTTTTCTTCTTTTTCTGTTCGTTGTCGTCAGAACTCTTCTACATCAAGCATCCTCTCAACTCTTGTCATTATCATTATCGACGGCAAAGATTTATAGTACTATCATATTTCGTCTTCACCAGATAGTTTTTTTCTCTGTTGGTCTATTTAAATGTTTTTCTCACCGGTTTTAGGTAAGTTTCTATTTCCGATAATTTTCCTATATCCTTGACCTTCAATTAACAAAATACGATA